ATATATAGTCCCTGCTCCTTAATAAAAGACTATAAAATTTGTAAAATTAAAAAGTCATATGAACAAGATTGACAACTACATGTTAAACAATAACACATACACAATTATGTTCAAATTCATTACTGTATCAGATCTGATTGGACACTTTTATGTCCAACTATTTAGGAAATCTCAAGTTGTAATTATATAAAATAAGGAAGATCTGGATTAAAATTAAGTAACGTGAAAAAAGAGGAGTGAGGACATTTTAATTTTTTACTTTAGTTTATGTGTCTCTCTGTGTGTATATTTGTGTGTGTATGTGTGTTCTGCATGTGGGAAGGGGCACATGTGTGGAAATATACACAGAAGCAAGAAGACGATAGCGACAGGCCTCCTGTATCTAGACCTACATACAGCGGCAAGTCACTTGAAAGTCACTGGGAACTGAAGTCTGGTTCTTTGTAAGAGGGGTACATGTAGTTAACCATTGGATCATCTCTGTAGCCCTGACTTTTTTTTTAAATATTTATTTATTTATTATGTATACAGCATTCCTTCCATGTATGTCTGCAGGCCAGAGGAGGGCGCCAGACCTCACTACGGATGGTTGTGAGCCACCATGTGGTTGCCGGGAATCGAACTCAGGACCTTTGGAAGAACAGTCAGTGCTCTTAACCTCTGAGCCGTCTCTCCAGCCCTAGCCCTGACTTTTTAACATTAGTAAATGAACTATTTGAGATCTTTTCTGACCACGTGTTTGGATGATGTCCAATGATTAGTTAAAGGGCCGCTTTGGCAAAACTCCATAAACTCAGGTTAATCAACAGAAATCTAATGCCTCACAGATCCAGATGCTAGAGTGGGCTCAAGGTGGTGTCAATGTGGCTCCTTCCAGAGCTGTGAGGGGAGATCTGATGCTAAGTGCATGTCTTTGGCTCTTCTGTTCACTTTCATGTTCATTTAAAACCCTTCATGTATGGACCTTCCTTAATTTTTTTTTCTTGTATAGGACACCTTTGCTCACAGTAGTTGCTTCATTATTACACTAAAATTTGTCAACACCTTGTCTCAAGATAAATTCAAATATTGAACTTAAGAGTAAGGTCTTCAACATATGAATTTCGTGAAAATAGAATCACTTCATAGATACCATTTCTAATGAAGGACGAGCTTTTAAAAAAAAAAAAAAACTTACAGACATGTGAGCAAGACATTCAAGTAAAGTACAGGGACCATGTCATGTAACCAATCATATTACCATTTACTAATCCAAGCTCATACAAAACAAAGTGCAGTTAAATTATCTCTTTGAAAACTGAAATCACAATCGAGCAATTTATTTAAGTTAGTTTGATTTCGAGAAGTCTGGACTTAAGAAACACATCAAAAAATTCTGTTCAGTCAAAAGTTACTAAACTGTTACCTACATATCTTTTTGAACAATGCATATTTCCAGTACTCACTCCAGATAACTGGAAATGAATTTTCAAAGCAGCATATATTTTAAATGAAAATTTCCAATTGATTCCAATATAATCTGCTTGACCCATCTGCTTCTGGGGAGCTGGGGAGAGTTAGGCCATCTTAACAAAACTCTATCTTGGAGGACATATTTAGCTAGAGGATTACTAAAACGTAAAGGATTAATAAAATACTTCCATTGAAACACAATGGAAAATGTTTTTAATGTTAAAATAATCATTGCTAATAAATAGTTCCTTAGCTTCAGTGAAAATTTAAGGTTTCAATGTTTCATTACAGCATTTTTTTTATTTTCTGTTTTTGGCTTTTTTGTTTTAGTTTGCTTGTTCGTTTGATTTTTCTTTTTTTTTTTATTTCTTCTTTTCCACTCAAGCTAAGCAAAAACCTTGCATAGTGGAAACCAAAATGTACTGAGGGGGTTTCAGGAAACTTACAGATGATGTCCTGTCCACTTCATAGTGGCTGATCAGAAAGAAGCAGGTCTCTTCATAGTCCATGCTAAACACAGTCAGGAAACAGAGCAATCACACAGAAATGCTGCTGGAGTGGCTGTGTCATTGCCTGGTCCACAGCTATCTGTGTGTCCTGACACTTAAAGGACAGTCGGATATCTGGTCAACCCTGACTACCTTTCTGAAAATAACAAATGGCATAATCATAGAGCTCTTGATTTTATTGCAGAAAAAGAAGTTGAAATTAGCTATTATAGTTTTATTAATATGTTTTGCTCATATTAGGAACACTGCTGATCTTTATTATATGGCTAACCTAACTGAACTATAACTACTCAGTTAGAGAGAGGGAACAGATATGTGTAGTGGTTTTAAATCAAACTCCACTGTATGTTTATGCTTCCAGGAGACTGTCCAGCCTCTTGTTTCAAACTCTATTTCCTCATGCTAATGCTTTTCAATTCTCAAAATTAGTAACTAAAAAAATATGTTTTAGTTCTTCATAACTTGTGGTTTTAAAACATGAGAATGGTTGCTTTTCAAATTAGTAATGATTTATCTTTCTGGTACACTGTGATAAAGTTAGATTTTTCAAAAAAAAATATGTTCTCACTAGAGAAGAAAGATAAAAAGCCCAGGAAACTGACCCAAACAAAACAATTCTGAAGAAAACATTGAGGCATGATTGCTAAATAACACTGGTGTTGGACAAATTCTCTAAGCGTTATTTTCTGTAAAGCAGTGAAGTCAAGAAACTGACCTTCGGGACTTGTTTGGAGACTCCTACTCCTTGTTCCTTGCATGGGGAATTATGCTGAAGAATGTATTAGTTATCATTAAGTCCCAAATATTTTATATAACATTAGGATTAGGAATGTCCATACAGCAAATAGTCTGTCACCCTAAGAGATGTCTTTCTCAGCCCACCTCTTAGAACAGTGCTAGGTGGTCAACAGTCCCTTGTCACCCCTTTTTTTTCGCCATTTATCTATTTACAATTTACATGGAGGGTTTTCTTTAAAGTGACCCTTTTTGTAGAAAATCATTTTAATATGAGTACTGCCACGTAAAATTTATCAGAGATAACTACAGCTAAAACAAACAGCTTGGATTAAATTCCCAGAATAAAATGCTTCTACTACATGCATACATATCAATACACAGTGGAAAAGCTATGTGAAGAACTTAATTGATAGTAATCTAAGGAGATTGATGTATATAGATAAAAGAATATAGAGCTTTAGAGGATGCAAATGTGGCAACTTCTAATAATTATATAGATATCAATTAAGAAAGTGTTAAAGCTCAAATTCACACAAGAGTTTAGTAATATCTGACTGTTTATAGAACTGTCACCTGTAGTATTTATTGGAGATAAACTCTAAGACAAATCATATACTCTTAAGCTTTCTAGCTTCCCAATATTTACCATTCATTCTATTGTGGAAGTGTTTCCTTACTGTCTTGTTTCTTAAATTAAATCATTAAATAAAATAAACTTCAGCTAAATTTATTTTCCTCTTGATAAATTAATGTCAGAATTCACAAATACTGCGTACCTAAGTATCACTCAGATTGTTAGGTGAGTCCTGGAAAGAAAAAGTCTTAGGTTATCAACTGTGATGAAGAAACCAGCACAATTAAAACAGGAGATGAAAGCATCCAAGGAAAAACATGAAGACATAATTGAATCTTCAAGAGCAGCAGAAGGCTCCAGGAAAGCCCTGCCTGCTTGAGATTTCTTCTGGTTTTGACACTAAGAAAATTGTTCTGTGCTAGATCTCATCCCCTGGTGATCTAAGTCCTCCCAATCCATTCCCTCACTCTGCTTCTGTGTTAGAAGACAAATCTCCCATAACAAATATTTAGACGATGGCACCTTTTAAGCCTGTTGACAGGCATATAGATAATATGAGGGAAATTCCACAGGATATCTCAGAATCCTGCTTCTTCCAGCTCTGAGGACTCTTCAGACTTGAACCCCAGCAAGATAACTGTTGTTGCTGAATGCCTGCTGCAACCTCCTTAAAATCCAAACCATGACTCATGCTTGGCTATCTCACCTATATTTAGTCCAAATATTTTATTTTTGAAATGAAAGCCAAATTGCAAAATTTGGAGACATTAACTGGAAGTGAACACCATCTATCTATCTCGGATAGCTGTCATTCTATCATGGCAACTTCTCATCACATGGTGTATGCATGTTATCCTAGACATCTGACCTAAAACAAAAGGATGGAATAGGAGCCTGTATTTCTAGCATTATTATTATATAATTAGCAAAACTGAGCTAAACTCTATATTTAAATATGCGTAAAATGTAACTTGCAAAAATTATGAGAGAAATTTTTCAGAGGACTGAAAATTGAAAACTGAGATAGAATGTGGTGATGATGCCTACTTGGCTCACAGGAGACCCTAATCTTTAATGGCTGAGCCTTGAAAGTAAATCACTCTCTAGGACCACATTGGAATCTGTAGTACCTTCAGAACTTGCACATCCATCTCGGTAGGACAAGAAAATCACCACATAATAATCCTGTTCAAGGTAAAGTTGGCAATGGTATAAGTAGAACCATGCTCTACTTTATGCTAGGAAGGTACACAGAATACTTAAGAAAGCAGTCTTCTTTAATGATGATCAAGTTGAAATGAATTTTTGATAATAAACATGTTTATATTTAGATTCAGACAAGTTAAATAGGATTGCACTATGATAAACATAAAGTTATAAAATGCAAATAATCCATCAGCCTGAGCTATTTAAATTGCATCAGTAAGTAGCACAAAGGTAGGCAATCACAGAGTATGTGCCACACACTTCTTTAGTTTAATTAGCACTGTCCAGTAAGTATAAAATACATACTGAATGGGAGAGAAAGGTTTAAGGGTCAATTCATACATCAAAGTGTTGATATTAGACTGAAATTTATTATAGTCATTTAGCTAGTATTATATTATGAGCTGGTATGTTGGAGCAACTTCTGATGAATATTTGTATAGTTGTGATATTGTGATGTCTCATGCTCTGGGGTATGTAGAATTAACATAGTAAAATGGCAATCTTATCAAAAACAATCTACAGATTCAATGCACCACTCATCAAAATTCCAGCAAAATTCTTCATATACCTTGATAGAACAGTACTCAACTTCCTATGGAAAAGCAAAAAAAAACCAGGATAGCCCAAACTATCCTGTACAATAAAGGAATTTCTGGAGGCATCACATCTCTGACTTCAAACTCTACTACAGAGTTACAGTACTAAAAACAGCCTGGTATTTGAAAAACAGAGAGAGAGGGAGAGCAGGAGGATTAATGGAACTGAATAGAAGACCTGCTATTAATCCACGCAAACACCTAACTTTTGACAAAGAAGCAAAAAAAAAATGTCATGGAAAAAAGAAAACATATTCAACAAATGGTACTAGCATAACTGGATATCAACATGTAGAAAAATGAAAATATATCCATATCTATCAACATGCACAAACTCAAATCCAAATAGATCAAAGACCCCACCATATTGTCCGAGGATTTCTGTCCTGCTGGGTTGTTAAGTCCCAAAGAAATCACACAGAAGTCTATATCAATTTTAAACTGACAGGCCTCGTAGCTCAGACTTCTTATTAACTCTTATAACTTATATAGGCCATTATTAGTCCATTATTCTTATCTGTGTTAGCCACATGGCTCAGTACCTTTTTTCAGTGAGGCAGTCACATCTTGCTTCTTCTGTGGCAGGGTAAAGAACTGCAGAGGAATTGGCCTCCTCTTTCCTAGAATTCTTCTGCCCACCTCTACTTATTGTCTGGTTGTCCTGCCTATATTTCCTGCCTGGCTACTGGCCAATCAGCGTTTATTTGAAATATAATTGACTGAATACAGACCATGGCCCCACACCAGTTCCCCCTCTTTTTGTTAAAAAAAAAAAAAGAACATCCATAGTCCATTTTTTGGGAATGTGGGCATAGTTTTCTAGAGTACTTTCTGCTCATTGGGGCACTGATAATCTTATGTGGACCTAAAGAAAATTTATAATTATTATCAAGTCATGACTGGAGTATCCTGTGAGGCTTGATCATCTCAGGCAGCAGTCTTGAATCTGTTCTGGATGTAGAACTCAGACATCTGGGCCATCTGTTCCTACCAGAGATTTCTCAGATGGTCTTTCTTTATCAAACCTGATTTTTCTTAATTCAAATAAATCCATAGCCTCTCATTTCCTGTGGAAACAAAAACAAAACCTCTTCTCCAAAGTAACATATCTTTTGACTTCAATTTTGAAGTCAAGGCATTTATAAAATATTTATGTTTTATTAATCCAGCAGCATTTATATTTAATGTTTTTTAGCAGCTGTTGCTCCTTCTTTAGCATTCAAACAATTCAAAGAGAATATAACAACAAACAGTATCCAGACTCTGTGTATTTTTCATCTTTATGTGGCTTTATTTTAACCTCTATTTCTTTTATTTTTACTTTTAATTTTTGGCTTTTTGAGACAGGGCCTCTGTGTATCTTTGGCTTCTGTAGACCAGGCTGTCCTTGAACTCACAGAGATCCGCTTGCCTGCTTTTGCCTTCTAAGTGCTAGGATTAAAGGTGTGTGCCACCACACCTTGAATTCACAGAGATCTGTCTCCCTCTGTCTCCCAAGTGTTGGGATTAAAAGTGTGTACCACCACACCCAACTACTCTCTTTCTTTTTTATTTTAAGGACGTTAACCTTTTTCTTTAATCTCCCAAGCTTGTATATATTTTTAACACACTGTAAACCATTTAGAGATTTTCTTCTTCTTTGAATCTCTCTTTACTGTATCTCTCTCTCTTTTTCCGATAACATGAGCCTTTAATTTGCTAAGCAATATGGAAAGGATTAAAGCTGTGGCTTTAACGGCTGGATCCAGCCCATTCCTTAGCTTTCTGAGATACAGCCGCATAGTGGAAATACTGGCCAGAGAAACGCTTATTGCCACAACTCTATGGTGTTTCAAGGTCCCTGCCAGCAAGTAAGCTGCAGCAGTGTGCTCACAAACCACACTCAAATGCTCTGTAGTCAGACCTCCTGCCTGAAAAAGTAAGAATTTGCACTGGTAGGAGAGCCCAGAAAGCTGGCATTTTAAAATGGCACTGATTTTTTTACTGCTATGGCTGAAAACCAAAAAGCATGTGGTCAGCTTTTCATCAACACCATTTAAGTGTTTCGTGGCAGGACATCTTAAAAGAGCTGCAAGATTTTGCAGCTAAAACTGAGTCAGGAAGCCTCTCTTAAATGAGAGTGCTTGCCTCTAGCAAGCAGAGCCCACCTGAGAAAACACTGCTATCAATAAGCCATGCTTAACTCTATCCTTTTCTGTCTAGAATTACTTCCCAAGCTCTATAAAGCTTTATGTGAATGCAGTCATTCATAAGTTGGGCACCATTTGTTGTTGGGGTTTCTGTCCTGCCTGGTTCCCACAGTCATTAAGTCCCAGACACAGAAGAAGCAAGAAGTGACTGCCTCGCTGAAAAAGGTACCAAGCCATGTGGCTAACATATACTAGAATAATGGGCTAATATAAGTTGTAAGAGTTAATAAGAAACCTGAGCTAATGGGCCAATCAGTTTATAGTTAATTTAGACCTCTGTGTGATTTCTTTGGGACTTAATGACTGTAGGAACTGGTCAGGAAAGAAACCCTAACAACACCAAAATAAAGCCAACCACACCGAACCTCATAGAAGAGAAAATGGAAAGTACACTTGAATGCATTGGCACAGGAGACCACTTCCTAAATATAACCCCAGCAGCACAGACACTGAGAGAAACAATTAATAAATGGGACCTTCTGAAACTGACAATCTTCTGTAAAGCAAAGGACACAATCAACAAGACAAAATGGCAACCTACAGAATGGGAAAAGCTCTTCACCAACCCCACATTAGACAGAAGACTCATATCCAAAATATACAAAGAAGCCAAGAAATTGTTCATCAAAAGAACAATTAATCCAATAAAAAATGGAGTACAGACCTAAACAAAGAACTCTCAACAGAGGAATATAAAATAGCTGAAAGACACTTAAAGAAGTACTCAACATCCTTAGCCATCATAGAAATGCAGATCAAAACAACTCTGAGATTCCTTTTTAAACCGATAAAAATGGCCAAGATCAAACACACTGATAACAACTTATGCTGGAGAAGTTGTGGGGTAAAGGAAACACTCCTACATTGCTTGTAGGAATGCAAATTGGTACAGACCCATTGAATATTAGTATGGCAATTCTCAGAAAATCAGAAAACAACCTTCCTCCAGACCCAGAAATACCTTAACTTTTGGGTATACCCAAAGGATGTTCAATTGTACCACAAGGACATGTGCTCAACTATGTTCATAGCAGCATTGTTTGTCACGGCCAGAACCTGGAAACAACCTAAATGCCCCTCAACTGAAAAATGGATAAGAAAAATGTTGTTTATTTACACAATGGAGTACTAGACACCAGAAAAATAATGACATCTTGAAATTTTTGGGCAAATGGATAGATCTAGAAAACATCATATTGAATGAAGAAACCCAGACCCAGAAAAATAAATATCATATGTACTCACTCACTCATAAGTGTCTTTCCAACATAAAGCAATGAAAACCAGCCTACAATTCATAATCCCAGAGAACTTAGACAATGAGGATCCTAAAAGAGACATACATGGATCTACTCCACATGGGAAGTAGAAAATACAAGATTTCCTGAGTAGATTGGGAGCATAAGGACCATGGGAGAGAGTAGAAGAGGAAGGAAGAGGAAGGGAGTGAAGCAGAGAAAAATGTATAGCTCAATAAAAGCAATATTTTTAAAAAGATGCAAAAACAATAAATGATAAAATTGGGTTTAGGTCAAAATATTTCAAATTGCATGATCATTTAAAGACCTGGAAAATGCGTTCAAAATTTAAATTGACTTAAAACTAACTAATATACAAGGACTTTGCTTTGCTGAAAAACTTCCCTGTGAGGTTTCTCTAAAATACATCTACAGCAAGATGTTTAGTACTTAAAATCTCTATATTGTTATTAGAGTTAATTATTGTGAGATCATATTTGATTATATTTACTTAATATAAATAATATTAATAAAAAAATTAAAGTTGATGGAAAAGGTTAAGATCATAATATAGGATAAAAGTATTAAATAAAATACTATGTTGGTTAGATATCACTTATGAATTATATGTATATTCAAAATTGTACAAGTTTTTATTTATACAAACTCATTTAGGAAAAACAAAACAAATAAGTATTTATTCTTTGAACTGAACTAATTGCACTGCAAAAAAAAATTACCTAATTCTTCTTTGTCTTAATTGTGCTTAGTCATACTCCAGGAAACAAATACACAAAAGGGAACTTCCAAGCACTGAAAGATGGCTTGACAAGTAAGTGTGTTGGAATCTTTTAACATAGGACCTGAATTTGTCTCCCAGCAGTGAGATGTAGCAGTTCACAAGTCTACAACACCCCCTTCAGAGATCTGATACAATATTATAGTTTCTGCAGCCACCCATGTACAGAGATACACAGGCACGCTAAACCCACATACGCACAGACACACAAATACACAAACGCAAATATTAATTTAAAAACTTACAAAAGGGATCTTCCATACTCTTACATTCCTATTAGTAGTACTTCTTATAATGATACTTTTCAAGATGACTTCTTCATTGTTTTATTGTATTTCATGTTAAAACTGACTGCTTCATAGAATTATCATTTATGTTTTACCTAAGAAAGAAAACAATCCTTTAAGTCAAATGGAATCTTTCTTTCCATTAATAACAAGTCTCATATTTCTTTTAGCACACCTTCTTATGTAAATCCATATCGCACTCTCTTTGAATCTTCTTTGTTGTCCTGTTTCTCTGGGTTTGTGGCCTATAGTCTGTTTATTCTTTGCTTTATGTCTAAAAGCTACTCAAGCATGAATACATATTATATTTGTCTTTGTGAGTCTGGGTTACCTCACTCAATATGGTTTTTTTTTCTAGATTTCAGAAGGAATAAAGGTTCATTAATGTATATATGGGCATCTGCAGAAAACTATTGACAGTAATCAAATCATAATTTTATATTCTTTGACTATTCTAACAATACTGAGAAGGGATGGACCTTGAAGAAGAATTGAGGTCCTACCTCATGAAATGTAATGCTGTTATTATTGTGGGTAGATTTTTGCTGTTGGCAACATAGTTTACCCTATTGTATGAAATATTTCTTTTTTCTGAACAACCTTATGCTATGCTCCCAACATTTTGCAATGGAATGAAAAGAAAGTGGGCAGCTTTGAGCACCTTTGTGATGGATTTCCCAGATTTAGAACTATAATACAACAAATTTCTGTTCTGCTCATTCATTAAGACTATTCCAGTCACAAGTATTCTGTCACAAACCAAACTAATACAGTAGTGTCTCTCAAATTGGAGCCTACAGTATAAAAAAAATTTCTACAGAAAGTAAATGATACGTAAAAGAATTCAATAAAAAAAAACTCTTAATGATACCAGATGTCCACAAATCAGAATTACTAAAATAACATTAGATATACCACCACTACTTAATTATAAAATAAAATGTCAAAAATTATGGGAAATGAATGTATTGTGCATGTTGAAGAGTAAAAATAAATGGGCAACATGAAACTTAGTACACAACTACAATGATTTGAAAAAAAAAAGATGTTCCAATTCATATATCAGTATTAAAATGTGGAGACTTTAGGGAGTAAAAAATCATGAGGGTTATGTCCCCAGACATGAGGGTAGTCAATCTTATAAAAGAACTGAAGCTAAGAACATCAATCTACTTATTCTACATTCTGCCATGTGATGATGTACCAAGAAGACACTGTCTTAGAATTAGAGAGAAGGCCCTTACCAGAACTTAATGTGTAACATCTCATTTGAATCTGTTAGAAACAAAATTTACATAACTTTTGAATTGTTCATTCACCTGTATTTTTATGGAAACAGACTAACAAAAGATATCAAAACTGAGAACAGATTTTTGGCTTAGTGAATGCCTATACATGATGGCTCAGCTTTGGGAATGGAAAATGGATAGAGGCTGGAAAACTGGGAACAGGAAGACAAGGACTGCATCACATTGAATGTGTCACTAAGAACAATTCTCTCAGGGTTCAGAAAATCAGGATTGTAGTACAAGATCACAGAAGGAGTCAGAAGAATGTTGGCTGAACAATATATGTTGAAGTTGATCCTGACTAGTTGAAAGTAAGAAATGAATGTTTTATTAGAAAACAGAAGACAAGCTGTACTTGTAACACAACAGCCAATCTTGACTGGGATGAGGCTCTTCCAAGGCAAGTCATACTCCTTCCATTTATTTTATCTGAAGAGAAATCCCTATAATTTTATCATTAATCCAGAATGATCAGGAAAATCATTTAGGAAATGATTTTAGAAAAGCCAGCATTTCAGAGTGGTAAACTAGAATTATTGGGAGCACAAATCTATAAGTCAAGGATTTTGGGTGTTTCCTTGAATCTCCTGGTTATATGTTAAAATCACAGAAAAGGAAACTGGATTAATGATAAAATTATAGGGATTTCTCTCTTCAGATAAAATAAATGGAAGGAGTATGACTTGCCTTGGAAGAGCCTCATCCCAGTCAAATTGTGAAGAATAAAAATGGTTCTCCTGAGAAAATGCCAAGGGTGGGAATAAGTATTAAAAAGAAAGCCAGATGCTCTTTATCTGCACAATATAAGAAGGAGCCTGAAGTCACTCCAGAGACCTTTGAAACCATCATGACTACCACAAGCCAAAAATAACAGGGCCTGGAATTTTAAAGCTGTTTTAATTGAGCAAAGCTAGGCCACCACAGAATTTCTAGGTTTGTGTCCAGAGTCGCCTCAGCTCTCTGACCTCTAGAGTCACATTGTGTCACAAACCTCTGTAGTCACTTCATGTGGGGCCAAGGACAACACTACATAAGAATGTGGGTTTGACAAGATTCTGGCAGAGGACACAGGAAATAAACTTTGGCAGTTATCTCATTGGAAAAAGCCAGCAGCTGTTCAGAGTACATAGTCCTGGAAGAACTACTTCATCTAGTTATCAAAGAACTTCATTCTGTCTCACAGAAATGCCTTAGGATTGGGGTTGACACAGCAAGGCCCCAGTGAGATAAGGTCTAGTAAAGATTTGAGAGTGAGACTTTCTCATACAACACAACTGAACAGTAACAATCATGAACACCTAGGAGGGTTAATGCTCCCACAATCTGTACTGTGATGTTTCCTGTGCAGTCTGTGCCCAGAAAAGTCAACTGGATGAGACTTCCCAAGGCCTTAAAAATTAACCTTGCTTAAGAAGTAAACTTGCTCTGTGTGTCTAGAATTTTTAACTTGGAGTTATAGGAAACCATCATCAAGCCCAAGGATTTCATGTTGTTTGACTTAACAGGTGGTTGTGGGGCACACCTTTAATCCCAGCTCTTGGGAGGCAGAGGCAGACAGATCTTTGTAAGTTCAAGGCCAGGCTGGTCTACAAGAGCTAGTTCCAGGACAGACCCCTATGCTACAGAGAAACCCTGTCTCAAAAAAAAAAAAAAAAAAAAGACTTAAGTTTTTAACTTACTTGCCGATATATTGAGTTAAGACTTTTAGAACTACTATTGTAATGGAATGTGTTTGATTGCTTTCTTAAGTGTTTTTATTTGAGGAAAAAAATATAAATTGGAATGTGCCCTCTCAAAAATTTAGGTTGATACCTAAAAGTCTACTATAATAGTAATAAGTATCAGGATTTCTAGACATGAGCACAGACATTGTGAATAGGAATAGGGACTTTATAAGATTGTAGAAAGAATTAGTCTTCCTCCCAACTCACCATGTGAGGACATAGCAACAAGTCTTAGAAGAGGAGAGAACCCTCTCCTCAGACATTGATCTGTGTTTCCATGACATGAAATACTCAACCCTGAGAATGAAGAACTAAAATGTTACAAATTCCCCACTCATAAGTACATGTATAATAGCACAGACACAGTAGTATGATTAAAGGTACTATTCATAAAGGAAAGAGAGAGAATTGGTGGGGAGGGAGAAGGAGGAGCAAATGAAGTAAGAAGAGAAATCAAGTACTGATAGAAGTTACAAGCATAAACTGAAAAAAGAAGAATGTATTATGGATTATAGTTTGAGTGTCATAGGTGCACATATAACTCAAACTCATTAAATAGTAGTAAGGAATATGTGCATTTTTATAGATTGAGAACACCTTAATTAAGGTTAAGACAGTTTCCTATAATACTCTATAAATCTAACAATATTGCAAATATTTGTTATATAAAACAGTCAAGAAATACAAACAAGGAAGTATTTCCTTACCCTTCTGACCACTGACTATTTGTAATTTATGCATTTCTTTTATTTAAATATATTTAAATGATGCTCAGAATGGTAGTACATGCTTGTAATTTCAACAGTTGGATGGTAGAGCCAAGGGGACCAGGACTTCAAAATCATTCTCTATTATAATGAGTTTGAGGCTAAGCTTGGCCACACAATATCTTGTTAAAAGAAAAAAAGGTAAACATGAATATGAATGCATGTATGTATGCAAACAACTGTAACACTAAAAACATTTTATTATAGAGCATACAGAATATAATACTTATGAAATTTCACATCTATATACAACATAGTAAATAAAAGTTTGTAAATATGACATTTGTATGTATTAAACATATTTATGCTGTATATTAATTTATACCTACACTATATAAATAAAACTATAAAATAAACAAAAATGGGACATGAATTAGTTTAAGTACCAGATGAATTTAGCCTATCACTGGCATAGTTTATAAATATTTGAATGATTTAATAAACTATTTACTAAACCAAATGCTTGACTTTCATTCCCAAATAAGTCCCTAGTAGTGAATACTACAATACCAAATTGAATCACGGAGGCCAGTAAATACCGTAGTCATTAGGGAACTCTTTACTTCATATTTTACAAAAAATAAATAACTACCGATACTATAAAAGTTGTCTCTGTAGTGGCTGATTATCTATGCTCCACTGTCACCCACTTTTTCTCAACTCTAACCATTTATGCTCTTGCTGTCAGGTGTGTGTGTGTGTGTGTGTGTGTGTGTGTGTGTGTGATATGTACAACTTAATTTCCTGGTAGGATTAGAATAAGTGTGAAGAATTTTGCATAAAATTACACAAGTCTATCAAATTCTAATGTAAGAGCACACATACTATAATTTTAAAAACCTTTCAAAATTCATACTAACTTAAGAACTATTTTGACGGTGGTGGAGCACGCCTTTAATCCCAGCGCTCGGGAGGCAGAGGCAAGCAGATCTCTGGGAGTTCGAGGCCAGCCTGGTCTACAGGGGCTAGTTCCAGGTTCCAGGACAGGCTCCAAAAGCTACAGAGAAACCCTGTCTCGAAAAACAAAAACAAAAACAAAAACAAAAAACATGAAGTTTAGCAAAAGGTCAGACACTAAGCACCTCTGGTTGTGAATCAACCTCCTACTCATTTTCTGATCCCTGTTAGAAATTGTCTCCTTGGGTAATACAACATGTGCATGTGTTGATGGTGGGAGGGGGCATTTTGCATACAGACAACACAAGAGAATATTAGGAGGAGCAGTGATTATTTGTTCAACTACGTGCTAATCATTCAAATAAAGTATGTATTGAAATCATTCATATTTTAATAATAACTCATATGGTTGTAGAAA